GACAGCGATTGCATCAATGCAGAGCTTCGGCCACGCGTTTCCTCATTGGCCAACAAGGCGTCCTCAAGGGCTCAAGGGGATAGCATGGCTCAGCTACTGCCTGTTTCTGCTACTGATACTGATACTGGCTAGCGGCTAGCGGCTAGCTAGCCCTAGGTTCGGATCTAGAATCTAGAATCTAGAATCTAGAATCTACATTTAAACCTAGTAGAAAAGAAATATAAACTATAAACCGATACAACTGAAATAAGTTACCAAATCGGGGTACCAGAAACAACCAGCATAAGATGATATATAATATAAAAAATAAATGGTGTATGTTACCAAATTAGGTGCCAGGCTCTAGGTTTCTAGGTCCTAGGTAAACAGATCCATTATTATCGCCTATTGAACAATGAGGTTTGTCAAAGGTCATACAGAAACTCCTGTGGGCTTGTATGCTATTCCAAAAAACACTGCATACCTTTTTGAGATCCGTAGTAGCTTCTGAAAGTTTGCAAAACTCATGAAACTCGTGAGATCAAACCAGGACCTAGGCTCAGACCTAGGACCTAGGACCTAGGACAAACAAGTAATAACATTTTTTTTATGGCCCATTGAAAATGAAGAGGTTCCATGAAGGGTCCCCGGTCCTGCGTCACCAATGCATTGGGTGTGCAAAAATCACAGTGTGGAAATGATACCGGCCGCGGTGTGATGATGTTTGATGCACCCCGAGCATCACCAGAATCACTACTAGGATCGCCAGAATTCCCCAAGCCAAGCTGACTGCGAACAAATTCAGTAACTTGCTCAGTCTGTCTCTGACGATCATTCTGTTCTGATGCCCTCTGAGTTTTTATCTTTTGCCGCTTTGTCGCTAGTTCGGATTCCAAGTTCCGGTGATCCGTGTTTTTGTGCAAACTTTTGATTGCAGAGGTTTGACGTCGTCGGGTGCCAAACGATTTAAACCCAGCCCTGTGGCTTATGCTTGCTGCCTGTCCAATATCATTGTACTTTTTTCTCTCCTCTGGAGACAGCGCTTTCCAAGCCTTGTGAATGTCCCCAAAAAGTTTGGATTGGTTTGTTTCTTTTTGCGATACCAGCTTCAGCTGTGAATGGAAAAACGCCCTACAACCGCCACCACCACCGCTTTTAGCCCCAGGTCTCCGCTTTCGATATTTGCGTTTTGGTGGCTGAGTCCGCCGAAGTTTCTCCTTCTTCTTCTTCTGCTTGCTTGCCTCAGATTGACATACCATTGAAGAATTCAATGACTAGTGACTAGTGACCAGTGACTAGTGGCTAGTGGTAAGTGGGTTCCATATTCAAGATAAAAGGGACAAAATTGCCGTTTAATTGGGCTTCCGGCTTAGTTCAGTCTTGAAGCCACAACTAGTAGTAGCTAGTAAAGTCACCTAGACCTAGACCTAGTCAGAATTCATTAGTCAATAATCACAAGTCAAAAGCCACAAATCACAAGCACCCACAAATCCCTTTCCTGTGACCGGAGCCTCAAACAGTGGCAAACAAATCAAATATTACTATACTATATATGACAAGAGCTAACTGTAACTGCTATCTACATCTAAAAGCTTACTGCTTACTGCAATAGCAACCAAAGCTACTCTGCGAGGAATGTGCTTCTTGCGGCTCTTGGGAAAATCAGAGTCGGAAGAGAACCTGTTTGCTGCTCTCAAGCTGTTTTGGCGCAATGTGAACATAGCAGAAAGCTTGGAGAACTCACTTCTCCAAGTCTGTACCGATGATAATTCCAAAACACGCCGTATGCTCGCATGCCGTGCTTCTATTTGAGAAATATCCACAATAGCCAGCAATGCTAATGCTTGAAGCATTGACTGCGCTTTTGGCCCTTGCATGTCATCCACTGAAGGAAACAAAGCCAGAATGCTGGCAGAGACTTCATCTAAGAGACACTGCTTCACATCAAAAAAATCAAGAATATCCTCAACAGACTTGGATGTACACCTGAAAAGTTTGTACGGGTACCCAGTGCGAGGAACACGAAGAAGTTGGTGCATACAACCCATCAGTCTCGAAACCAGCCGAAATAACAAAACAGATGTACACCTGCGGAGAGCTCTCTCTGGCAAAGCTGGAACTCTTTCGTGAAATACTGCGGTCAGAGCCCTAAAGGCAGCCTTTTCCTGCTCACCCATGTGGGCCTCCAAAATTCGAAACTTGCGGTGGCCAGTGGATAGGAAATCAAAAGCTTGAGCATGCTCCCACTCTTCCCCAGCCATGCGCAAAAATTCGAACATCAGAGTGACAGCTGGGGTCATTGCTCTGCGCAGCAATGCAAGCACATAGAAAGTATTGCTGTTAGCCCACTTCAAAACAGACTGTCTCACAGACCGATTCATTTCCTCCAGTTTGTCAGCCCTCGACTGGTCAACATCAGGAAGGGGTTCAACAACATGCAATGACTCTTCAGCAAGCTGCAACACATGGATTTCACTTTCTTCATGCTGCTGTTGGTCCACGTGAGGTCCATCATCTAAAGTAACCTCAAACGATTTTGCAGCCGCATCCCAGCCCTGGTTGCCTTCATCTGACGGCACATCTGTGGTACCAGCAGAAGTTGGAGGGACCCTGGCAGTGGTATCAACAATAATATCTTTGCCCAGCGTTGCCATATACCTCCTGGTTGCATGCTGCAGCAAATTGTGATGGCAGGCCAAAAGCCCAAGAATGTCTACTGGAATTTCGGCCCCATGCCACCTATGTCGAGGGAAAATTGGCACCCCGGCTGGCAGGAGGGCCCGGGGAACATACTTGCACAGCAAGAGAACAGCATCTTCCCTGGCAATGTCAAAAGGAGCATACCATGTTATTGTTTCTTCATCCTGAAGGTCCCCATTCAAGAAGTAGTTGAGGACTGTCCTCTGGATCATTCGCAACATGCCTGATTTTGTCTTCAGTTTTTCGTTGCTGTGTGCTGAACCAAGAAAAAGGTCATAAACATCAAACCTGTGTTGCTGGACTTCCCCAGTGGGAGGCGGACCCACGAACACGTGAAGCCTTTCGGCTATTTCAGCTTCAATGCACCTTCGAAATCTCTGCAAAGCTCCAGATTGCCTAAAAAGAAGGCCATAGCTAATGATTGAGGAGATTTCCCGGCTTGTGATGCCAAACATATGCGTCAAGCAAGTTGATAACTTGTGCACGTCGCATGGCAAATGGAGTTTTCGATTGAAAGGAAACATATTTCGAAGTCCTGTCTCTGCAGCACTGTTCACAAGTGCCCTATCTGTGGTGACCAATTGAACTGACATGTCAAATTTGGAACTGGCAAGGTTCAAGCTTTTCAAACTGCTCTCCAGGGCTAGCTGTGCTGTCAAAATATCAGTTGCCCTGCATTGCTGAAGGGCTTGCAACCAAGTAGGGACAAAACCTGCAAAACATACAAGTTCTTCGCTACGTACATCTTGCAAAATGACACTGATGCGGAATTGAGATTGCAGCACTTTGGTGATGACCTGCTGTCCACCCCCCCCGGAATGACGAAGTCGGAGCGGCGTTTCATCATAGAATCTTTGTCTTACAAACAAGACACCTTTGTACGATCCACTTGAAATAAGTTTCATGCAGTGCTGAAGGAAAACATCCCACTGCGCTAGCCCGCATTCCACCAGTCCAGAAGCTACAGTCTCATGATACCCGACAAGACGAGCCCCAATTGTCTTTTCCAGAGCCGAAGCTGAAAAAACAACTTGGGATGGCTTCATCACATGATCTAAAAACTTTTCCATGGACGTCTTGGCATCAAAGTCCTCGGAACCATCTTGGTCTTGGTTGTTTTCCCGTCTCCGGCGGTCAAACATCTCAGCTGACAAAAATATTTGTTGCTGAAGGTCTGACATGTCCATCTGAGCTACTCTGAGTGAGTTTTGCAAATCTGGAAAAAAATGCATTGCAGGGTGAACTTGCTCACCCGACTCTACTCTTGGCACAAGTTGTTGATTCAGGCGATTCACTCTGCCTGTCCGGCCTGTCTGTTGAGCTGTCTTTTGGGCGGATGACGGCTTTACTACTTTTTTGGGTCTACCTTTCGGCTTTGGCCTTGGCCGTTGCACTGCTTGTTCCACCTGTTCAACGGCCCTGGGATCGCTCACAAAGGAGGCAGCGGCAGTGGCCCAACCATTGTCCCCATTCGGGGAAGGCCCACTGTCACTAGCAGAATCATGAATCATTGTTCTGCAGCCGATACAGCTGCATACATGAGGCTGGATTCACCGTTTGTCATTGGCTCAGGGTTGTTACAAAAGGATTTCGCTAAAATAAAACAACAATGACATTGGCTGGTACTAGTTACTAGTAACTAGTACAGAGCTGAAATTCTATTTTTTGAATCTCATATGTCAATGAAACCGCCGCTGCCCCATCCCTTCCTTGACCCCATGCAAGCCTGGGCCGGCTCACGAAAGACCAATCATCCAAATCGAGCTCGCAAACGATGGTGAAGAAACCAGCAGCGCGCTTCCACGGGAAGGAATCCACCTGACGAAGGAACCTGCCCGAGTCAAGAACGGAGAATAAAAGGTGATGATCCATGAGTTCCTTACTCAGTGTTTGTCACTTGCTACTGTTACTTGTTGAAATCAATATATTATTATGTTACTATTATTATACTACTTTCTTGCTGCTAATTTGAAACTTAGCTTCTTACCTATTACATTTACATTATTACAAGACAAGACCTGCTTGTCCCACCAACCCACTCTGAATCAAAAGAATGTAGGCACTACAGTTACAGTGCCAGGCCTGTCCAAGGGGGATGTTGAACCTTGATGATCTTCTGCTTCACCAAACCCCTTGACGTTCTCAAAAACCCCACAGCTCGGGTTGTGGAAGTCCAACCATTCGAAAAATTGCCCGAAGCACGTATCATAAGACTTGTGTGATTTCACTGATCCCTGACAGAAGCGTTTTACACGCTGGAGGGAAAATGGCTGGCATGGCAATCCAGCAACAAACATATCTAGGACTGGCTCTTCAGAAAAGCAAGGTCCTGACCTCTTGCCTTGATTCTTTGGGGTCTTCTTCGCCGTGCATGTCAAACAAGGTTTGTGGGAAGCCATTTGGGATTCCATCGTGTCGTACAAATGCTGGACTTGAAAATTTTCGGTCATGAAAGCTCTGGCAGATGCGTCAGTATCCGATGCGCTCACCACGGAAGCATCAAGCTGCAATGCCTGCGTGGTCAAGAAAGATTACTGTACGATTACATTGATTACATGATCACATAGTGACATGGTAATGAAATGAATGGTTGGTTCCAAAAAGAACATCATGTTTTAACAAAGATACGAAACATCAAAACCCCAAGCCCATGTTTACTCAAACATAATCCATAATTACATAATAATTATTTGCCATTTCTTTGCCTAACAGTCTGACAGGTCCAAGTCCAAGTTAACTAACTAACCAAACCAGAATCCAACCGAGTCCTAGGTCCTAGAGTCTAGAGCCTAGAGAAAAAACAATAGTGAAGAACCTGAGGAACATTCTTGCTGCAACCTACACGACCTACCAGCAGTGAAGTAAAGTAACTACAATCATTTTAGAATTTTAGACCCCAAACAACACAATGATGGCGATAACATTTTGAAACCAATGTCCTCAAACACGCTTGCTTCTGCCAGCGTCCCGCTGCACCCTGACAGAATTTGCACCGGCCGCCCCAATCCACCGGGAGCATGCGAGTCGATGAACCTCTTCAAAGGCGCAACCCAAAACAACTCCGGCTGCAGAGATGTTTCGGAGATGGATTCGGGATTGGGGCTCTGTGAACGCACAGCTTCAGCTTCATCGATGGAGTCGATCTGAAGCTGCTGGCTGATGACGTGCGATTCCGCAGCCTCTGCCCAGGACATAGCCAGCAAAACTTCACACCACAAAACAGATCCCGACCTGGTGGAATCTTGAACATCAAATGGCCACGTTGGAATCTAGTCATCTCCCAAGCGCTAGTGACACATCTCCCAAGCATTAGTGACACATGTGTTGTTTTTTTTTTGTTTTTTTCTTGAATTCATTTTTGTTTTTTTCTCGAGTTCATTTTTGAATTGTTCTGTTTCTGGCTCTCCCAGGCCTACTCTTTTTTGAGTCCGTTTTTGAGTCCGTTTTTGTTTTTTTAATTTTTTTAAGATACCCCACTTTGTCTGGAGTAATGATATCATAATACTACTACTTACTACTACTTACTACTACTTACTACTACTTACTACTACTTACTACTACTTACTACTACTTACTACTACTACTACAACAACAACAACTACTACTACCACTACTACTTACTACTACTACTACAACAACAACTACTACTACTACCACTACTACTACTACTACTACTACTACAACTACGGCTACTCCTACTACTATTGCTACTACTATTGCTACTACTATTGCTACTACTATTGCTACCACTATTGCTACTACTAGTGCTACTACTATTGCTACTACTATTGCTACTACTATTGCTACTACTACTGCTACTACTACTGCTACTACTACTACTACTACTATACTACTATACTACTATACTACTATACTACTATACTACTATACTACTATACTACTATACTACTATACTACTATACTACTATACTACTACTACAACAACAACTACTACAACAACTACTACTACAACAACTACTACTACAACAACTACTACTACAACTACAACTACAACTACTACAACTACAACTACAACAACAACAACTACTACTACTACGACTACTACTACTACTACTACTACTACTACTACTACTACTACGACTACGACTGCGGCTGCGGCTGCGGCTACGACTACTACTACTACTACTACTGCTACTAGTAGTAGTAGTGCTACCGCGAATGCGCTCCTGCGTGCTGGACAGCTCAGTCACACGCAGAGTTCGGACTATTCATCTCATTCTCTCAAGGTGCGGACAAGGCACCATTGATGACACCAATGACGGCAAAGCCCATGGTAACTTTGTGGACCAAAAAGAAAACCATGAACCATTCAGTAACCTTGGAAGCAATGATCGAACTTTGACTGAGAGTGAGGTTAGAGCTGCAAAAAAGAACACATATTGCAAAATAGTCTGTACCGGAGTCAAATTGCCAAGGGTCTAATAAATAGTATCTATTTAGGCACTGAATCCTCCACCATTGAAGCCTGTTATGACTTGTTCTGGATCCTGCACACTTCCGCCAACCCCAAACGTGTTTCTTGCTAGTCCCACATGCATCAGCCCACCGCATTGAGCCACAGACTGAATTGCAGCCAAAGCACATTCTCAGTAAGAGCACGGCAAACAGGTGGCCAATTAGCCTCTCAATATGCATTTTCTTGAGATTCTATAAAGAATTCATAAATATCATGGAACATTCGTGCCCGTGACCTACCTTAAAAACAATAGTGCAAATATATTCCAGAAATGTGGGCAGAATAGCGAAAAATGCAAGCGAACCGATGAAGCCATCCTGATGGTGATCTGAGAAGCCCGAGTCCACTGAATCAATGCTGTTGACTTTCACACTAAGGAACTGCCGCTCAAATGAAAGATTTGCATGTTTACAGATGTTTGCAGTATCGGTGCGCTGTGAAGCGGTCATGATAAGGTTTGAAACCCAGACGCCAAGGTTATCTCGAACATGGTGAGCAACGAGCGAGAGAACGTTCCAAAATAGGTGTAGACCTGATAACGCAAAGGTCTCATCAACATGCCCGTGCGTCAACCAAATATAAACACATGCGCAAACCTGCACACACACACACACGCACACAAAATGTGTATGCACAAGCATTTGCCTCCAAAGACATCGAAACAAATAGGAAACGAGCACCTGACCCGGAAAGCAAATCGCACACCTTAACTCTTCTCTTTCACGGTCCTTGGAGTCCTTGATTTTCCCCCCATATTCTTGTTACGGTCCGGGCGTAAGTTTTAGTCGCATGTGCCCACGCGAAAAAAAAGTGCCTTTCCACTTACTTGTCCCTTTTGGCTTGCTCTTTTTGACATTCGACTACTTTTCAACTTAATGTTCCACACATCACTGTTGGATACATCTCCAAAGGCAAACAATAGTAAGTGTGACAAACGGAAATAACAAAATGAAAAGAAAACAGACACACACACAGAGTTTTGAGATTCCATGGCGCTTGTTAAAGGGGCATGACACGTCTGATTCTCGTGCCAACCTGTATTCATTGCACATCGTGTCAGACCTTTTCACTTGTGAACCGTCAAAGAACAAAGGAAGGGGAAGGGAAAAAAAGAAAGGAACGGGAAGAACGCAAATAGGATCTGGCTACGGACCACGAAAGGAAACGAAACTTGAGAGGGGGAACACGAAAGGTAGGTGATCAAGAAGGGGAAACAAAACCTCTCTGTGTAAAAACTGGTTGCATGTAAAAGTGTGCTGTGTGCACAAGTTTCTGTGTGCAGTTCGTCTTCCGTGTAAAGGCATCTGTGTATAAAAGCCGCTGTATGTAAAAAAACTGTTGTGCGTAAAACCTTCTGTGCGTAAGACTTCTGTGCGGAAAACTTTCTGTGTAAAAACCATCTGTCTGTAATAACTGCTGTGCATTTAAAAAATATGTCCGGAAAGGCTTCTGTGCGGAAGAGTTGCTGCTGGGTACAAACTGTTCTGGGTAAAGTTTCTGCGTGCAAAAAAGTCGATGTGCATTTTTTTTGGTGCAGTCTGTGTGTACGATTTTCTCAGTGTTTATTTTTTTCGGTGCCAAAAAATCTGTGTGTAAAAATTGTTCTGTGCAAAGGTTTCTCTGTGGCAAAGGTTCTGTGTGTAAAAATGCTTGCGTGCCTTTGTTTATGCGCGCAAAAACCTCTTCGTATAAAGCATCTGTATGTAAAAATTTCCTTCTTTGTGTAAAAACCTCTGTGTGTAAAGGTGTCTGTGTACAAAAGTTTCTCTGTGCACAAGCTTCTCTGTGTAAAAATACCAAAGCTGCTCTGTGTAAAGACTTCTGTGCGTAACGTCGTCTGGTGGTAGATGTGTGCTGGTGCAAAAGGCGTCACCAAAAAGAATCTAAGTTCAAACGCTTGATGTCGTTTCCATTGTTGCTGATGGCGATGATGCGCGCAAGGCCCCACAAGGCGTCATTTTGGTTGTCTTAAATCAATTTTGAAAGCCTTCGGAACAAATTACTTACTTCGAGTTAAGTGCCACCAAACGACATTTTTTTGACATATTTTCTGACATCCCATCTGGCATTCGCATTTTATCTTGAATATTTTCTGAAATTCTTTATGGCATTCTATCGGGAATATCTTCGGAGATCCTTTGTAGTTGAAGTCCGGCGCATTTGAGGTCCGGCGGGGATCACTCCAAACCAGAGGTTGCTTGCTGTTCAGGTTCGGCAGGAAACACTGCGATTCAGAGCTTGCTGTTGTTGTTGTTGTCGTTGTTGTGGTTGTTCTTGTTGTTATTGTTGTTCTTGTTGTTCTTCTTCTTGTTGTTGTTGTTGCTGCTGTTGCTGTCGCTGTCGCTATTGCGGTTGTTGTTGCTGATGCTGATGCTGTTGCTGTTGTTCTTGTTGTTGCCGCGGTTGTGGTTGTTCTTGTTGTTCTTCTTGTTGTTGCTGTTGTTGCCGTTGTTGTGGTTGTTCTTGTTGTTATTGTCGTTCTTGTTGTTCTTCTTCTTGTTGTTGTTGTTGTTGCTGCTGTTGCTGTCGCTGTCACTGTTGCGATTGCGGTTATTGTTGCTGATGCTGATGCTGATGCTGTTGCTGTTGTTGTTGTTGCCGCGGTTGTGGTTCTTCTTGTTGTTGCTATTGTTGTTGTTGTTGTCGTTGTTGTGGTTGTTCTTGTTGTTATTGTTGTTCTTGTTGTTCTTCTTGTTGTTGTTGTTGCTGCTGTTGCTGTCGCTCTCACTGTTGCTATTGCGGTTGTTGTTGCTGATGCTGATGCTGATGCTGTTGCTGTTGTTGCTGTTGTTGTTGTTGTTGTTGTTGCTGCCGCGGTTTTGGTTGTTCTTGTTGTTCTTCTTGTTGTTGCTGTTGTTGTTGTTGCTGTCGCAGTCACTGTTGCTGTTGCGGTTGTTGTTGCTGATGCTGTTGCTGTTGCTGTTGCTGTTGTCGTTGTTGTTGTTGTTGTTGTGGTTGTTCTTAGTGTCCTTCTTCTTCTTCTTGTTGTTGTTGTTGTTGTTGTTGCTGTCGCTGTCACTGTTGCTGTTGCGGATGCTGTTGCTGTTGCTGTTGTTGTTGTTGTTGCTGTTGTTGTTGGTAGTGTTGGTGGTGTTGTTCTTGTTGTTGTTGCTGTTGTTGTTGTTGGTGGTGGTGGTGGTGGTGTTGGTGGTGTTGTTGTTGTGGTCCTGTTTTCTTTTTTTGTTTTTGTTGCTGCTGTTGTTGTTGTTGTTGTTGCCGTCTTCGTCGTTGTTGTTGTTGGTGGTGTAGTTGGGGTTGTTGGTGCTGTTGGTGCTGTTGGTGCTGTTGGTGCTCTTGCTGCTGTTGGTGTTGTTGGTGTTGTTGGTGTTGTTGGTGTTGTTGGTGCTGTTGGTGCTGTTGTTGTTGTTGTTGTTGTTGCTGCCCCTGCAGCTTTTTTCTCGGTTCCATAGTGGCCGAAAATCGTCAAATAGGTGGTTGTTTTCGCGTGTTTTTGCAACTCTCGGAGCAAAAAACACCGTAAATACCGATGGTTTTGGCGGGTCGGAAGCCCAACACCACCCTATTTACGATGTTTTTCTTTGCCTTTGGTAGCAAAATTCACGGTATTTACCGTTTTTTTTGTGCCAGCACCTAGCAAAAAACACTAGTATTTACGCGGGTTTCACCATGTTGCAATATGTAGTGTCTATATCCGAAAAGAAGCAAAAGACTGTAAATTCCAATGGTTTGGGTCTGCTGTTGCGGTGCGTGGGGGGCGCGGGGAGGGGGGTTTACTGAAATGACTAGCACGCTCCTGAATAATCACGTAACGGGGCTGGCCGCCCTCCCCTTTACTTCGTAAAGCAAAACTCAAGGTAGCCCCACTGGAGCTACCTTTCGTGATCAAACTTAATTGGGGGAATTGAAATGCGTCAGCGTTAGACATGCAATAAAAAAAACTCTGCATGAAGACTGCTGATTCCTGGCTCACGGACGAAATGTGCACATGCCCGTGCATTGCAGCAAACAGTTTTGGCACTCAGACTGATAGCAAAATATACGCAAGGACGTTGAGATGCATGAAGGAAAACTTGAAGCTTGAAACCCTTCAACTCGACAAGCCCCATGCGAAGGTACAGTTGCGTGTTTGAATTAGATCTGAGCAAGCTTTACATAGATGTATCCCCCCCACCTTGTATGCCTTTATATAGCAGTTTTGATTGCTGGCATTTGATTGAAACCAAGTGCGAGATCAGGACCAGGACGGCAGAATCAATGAGTTTATTTGGTAATTTGGCCAGCGCTTTCCTAATGGTTTTCATGGATGCAGTTCCAATCATCAAGAAAGGCAAACGTCCTGAAGTGATACCGAACACATTCTTGACAATGCCCACCTGATTAGACCCCGCCTGTGCTGCTTCGTTAGGAACCAGGTTGTTAATCCAAATTACTTTTTTTCAGTCGAGCACGCAACATTGCTAAAATATGATCCACATAATCCGACGCGCAATTTGTGGCAGCATAGCACGCAATTTCTTAGAGACATTCAGAGACAAAGATAAACAATTCAAGTGCAACGTTATGGTTGGTTGAGTTCTTTCCGCAGCAAGGTCGCACGAATGTTCCAATAATTCCGGAAGCGTCAATGCATGGCCTTCCATAGCATAAGTATCGGAAAAACATCTGCGAAAATATCCTGCAAACGAAAATATTGTTTAAATTTTACACATTGTATGTGCGAATTCTCAAACACAAACATTCCAATGCACGCCCCCCTCATTTTTTGGATCTGTGATATGTCTTCAGCCAGAAGATGCCAGGACTGCATCCGTGGCCACGCGGGTCAATGTGCTTGATTTGTCGTCCGAGATTCCAATTCAAATCGGTCCCTGAGCTCCTCATTGTCCCGCTTCAACAGTTCCTCCGAGAAATAGAACCCATAGAGAAGCTGGTTCAGCACCTTACCACATGTCATCACACGTCATCACATGGCATCAAAGTGGATACGCAAGATCTCTTCTTGAAAAGAAAGAGATGGTCATCCCAGAAGGAGTGCAGAGTGCGAGTGTCCCATGACATTTACTGCGGGCCAAATAACTCAAACTGGTGGCATGGATCATTTGCACAAGAAGCACATGTCCTTTGGTGAACTTTAGCGGTTTTGCTTGATAGAATGCTCATGTGGCTGGCCCTTTCCACATGTGGCTTCGATATTGAGGAGCAGGCCAGCGCAAAAAGCATTTGAATCAGGAAGAGCAAAGCAGCAGTCCACCCGAGAATTCCGAAGCTGCTACGAATGGCTGTGGACATCAAGTACAGGGAGTCGAACCTGAGAGCAGGTAAGATCATAATTTGCTAAGACCCCAAACACAAATCCAACCCACATCTTACGTAGCATAAAACAAAAAAAACATGCAGAGCGGGATCTCAGGTAAACACCCCGTGTGGTTCAACCAACATTTTTTAGCTACCAAAAAAGCGCACGCGGGCTTAGCAACTTGGTGCTTGGTGCTGGTTTCACCGTGGCCTGACATGCGAAGCGTCTTACAATTGTCAATTCCTCGCTTGTATCGAGAGACGTATCATTTTCAGTGTTTCGCGCAGTTTCCCTGATCTTCAATCGAATCCCAAGTTTCACATTGAGGGATTTTCTTGCCGTTTTATCATGTATGCGGGATTCATTTCTCATCAGACCACTTCAAGTGGTCAATTTCTTGTCTAGCGTGTGTGTTTGCGTGACATCCACGAGAATGGCTTGGCATAATCCTGCTTTTCCAATTGCAAGAAGCGCACCAACGCGGAAATTACCAGTGCGCACGCCCTACCCACAGAGTGTACCAACATGTGCCCTGCAACCTGTCGCTTGGATGCTCCAAGCAGACCTGTGGCAAACCCTTCAACACCAAAACTCACAAATGTGATTTCACGAATGATTTCATTTGAACCAATTTTTCATGAAATAGCGTAGTGCACAATGTGCGTCGGATCCTTCGGCAAAGTGGCTGCTGAATGCGCCGCACCAAGCGTAGGAGCCGAAAGAGCCGGATCAGTCTTGCCAGGCGCAGCACCTTTCGTGTCGCTCACGCTCAGCAACAATCCCCAAACACTTGCCGCACTTGGCCCGCCATTTCTAGAATGAAGTCAAATACAATCAAACACCAACACTCTGTAAAATGAACGCGTTGGCCCCACACAATGGCAATATCCAAAGTAAAATTGTCAAGTCCTCTGGCTGAGGCCTGTGTTTATTCGGCGTGGTTCCTTGCTACTATGAGAGCTCAATCTAAATTAGAAATACATAGATTGTTTGAAGCTCCGGTTTGAAGCTCCGATTTGTTAAAATTTGTTTTTACAAGTAATGCAGCCACAAGCGGTCAGCTTATTTTCGTTGAGCGAGTTATTACTGTGTACATGTCATGATACTGCCTAAAAACACCACCCGCCGCCCGCAGCTGTTCAGCGGAGGCAGGAAGTCGAGGCAGATCAAGAGTGACCTGAGAATATACGGTGCAATGCATGTACATGACGCACGAGCTGTCGCAGAAGAGATGTTCAGCATAAAATGACATGACGACTAGTGCACGGAAAATTTAGCTATACCACGCGCAACAGATGCAAACCCTCGGATGCAACGAACACTGACAAAACGTTTTGATGCGGATGCGATCGAAGCAAACCAGGCAAATGACATGGTCGGGCTCCCGCCACGGCTTTTACTGCTCATGGCAATTTGATGGAACCATTTGGACATATCGGCACCTGTACAAGTCAAATGCAAAGCCTACGAGACTGCAAACGGCTGGACTCCCGCCACGGCTTATCTTGTACGAAGCAATGGAGGAGACGGGCAGAAGCATGCAATCACGACAAACGGCAAAGGTGAAAACTTGAATTCAGCGAAAGTTAGGACAACATTTAGCTTACCGTTGAAATCAGCCCAAAGCTCAACATGGCCGTAAGGGAATGTATACTCATTGTCCATTAGTCCGTCAGGCTCCTGAATTACGCATTCACGGATCAGTCCCTGGGATGTCATGGTCTCAGATGTGACCGAATTAATCCTGCGCGTGTTGCGTCCAGGGCAATACGCCGGTGGCTCAGGAGCGGCAGCGGCAGATCTCGAAGCAGCGCCACCAGAAGCTGGTGGAGAACGTTCACGATCGGCATACCCTCCCGAGTAGCTGCAGCGTTGGTAGTCCTGTCAACGACCATGATGGCCTGAGCCGCAGCCCTTTTGGGTGCATTGTTGATAGCCCTTCCACTTTCTGGCCTTTGCCCCATTGCTGCCAATCATCCCGGCCATATCCTCGGGATTGCCATTCATCTCCACCATATCCTCCGGACTGGCAGTCGCTGTAGTTATGGTACTGTCCTGGAAAACCACCGTACCCATAGCCCCACTGTTCTCGCTCTTGTCGGACGTTGCCGCCTTTGCCTCGGAAGGGACAGTCTCGTTGCCAGTGATCAGTTGCGCCACACCTGAAGCACCCTCGTTCATGGTATGTGTATCCCCGGCGACACCCTCGCATCGGGCTCATCTCTGCACTGCCGGTAAGATCTTCATAGTCTTCTTCCAGGCCGCGTGTCAGGTACCAACATCTGACCAGACCATCCAAACACCGTCGGAGCGGGTTCCCCTCGCGCTGGAGCCAACTTGGACGTAAACACCGCAAACTGTGCAAGCGAATAAAATTGTCCTGGGTCGCACACCATTGCTTCGGTGGAAGCGTCCAATGGAGTGGAGGTGTCATGGTTTGGCATGGGCATGAAGACCAAGCGTGTCCTGATCTCTGTCCCCTTTCCCCCTTTCCTTTCTCTCTGGCTTCCAAGCTTCTGCCTGTGTCTGGTGAACAAGTACCCAATCGATGGAGGAAGTCGCAGCATGGTGGAGTGAGCTGGGCAACAGAACAATTGTACATGAAGAAGGGGCCGCCTTCAAGACGTTCAGTTCCGTCGAGCATGTTTTGGTCACAATTCTCGCACTTGGCAAAAGGGATGGTGATCTTCTGAGCAGTGACGCAGTCAGCATATTTGAGATTTTCGACCTTCATTTCTGTGACAACTCCGGCTTTCCCTCCCCAATTGGCGTCCTCGTCCTTTCCCCCTGTTCCAGCCCTTACTCTTCCTGCGCGACGGGTCAATGACCTCAGAGTTGGAGACTGCGGCATAGTAGACAAGAAATTCTTCAACTCCACGGGCTCGATCCAAGTAATTCTTCGGTGGACTCCATGTCCTTGATGACACCGATGAGGCGCTTGGGGTTTGTCAGGGTAAAGAACTTGCCAGGCTGAACGCCGTTCAGGCTGCAGAAGTAAGCCCATGCCGATGCCTCTCTTGGATAGGTCAAATGCGTTCACAACGGAATTGTTCTGTTCAATCGACTTTTTGACACGCTCATTGTATGATTTTTCAACATGGGGCGTATGCACGATTCGACCAAAAGAACTCCCGGTCGGCTGCGTTATAAACACAGATGATACACTCATTCGGCACCCAATCCGGGGTAAGAATGGCTTCATCAGTCCTGAACAGCCGGTCTCCCACTTGCATTGCCAATTCAAAGTCCACGGCCACGTAAAACGGCTTGCCAGCCCGCGTTCCCGCTTTTGCGTCCCATGGATGGGCGGCGATGAAATGATTGCGCACCCGGGGCCATCCACCTGGAATGAAGCCATTTTGGATCAGATGGGACACGACATTCTTGTCACACGAATGATAAATCACCCGAGGAAATGTCTTGAACTCGTCCACCAAGTCCGGTCGGAAGTTCACCCTGGGGATGTCGTCGTTGTCCACCATGTCGGCTGCGTAGTCCGGGTCAAGGGTATAGAGCTGCTTGATCATGCGAGCAAAGCGGCCCTGCTTCTGCACATAGGCGTTGTGACCTTGGAATCTACGCAGGTGAGTAGGCATCCACGGCAAACCTTTCCAGGTTGCCGTCTCATTGTCGGGCTTGGCAACTTGCAATTGGAAGCGGCGAGCGTCGGAGCTTCTAATGACTTGCAAAATTTCCCAGTCCACGACATTCTTGTTCTTCCTGCACAAATATTCACGCACTTCATTCCAATCCATGGGAAGATCTGTGAAATCCATTTCAGGAGACGGCAAGCTGTCTGCCAGTGCGTGTCCGCGCAAGTAGTACCACAATTTGCGGGAGATCTCACGCAACCTGCCGTTGGAGTCGGTGTGCCTGTAGGGAATTCCTACAATTGAGATCTGATGGATCAAGCCACACCGCGTCCTCGAGGCGTCCCTGAGCCTTTTCGAGCTTGTGGAGCTTCTCGGTCGGTGCCTTGGCCGTGTGGTGACTCGGTGGCATCGCCTTCGGCTTCGGCTTCTCAACCTTCTCAAAGGACTTGGCGACATGCTTCGGTTCGGCAGGCCTCCCGGCTTGCCGGCCTCGTAGTCCACTTCCGAACCCTTATCCTTGACGTCATCATCAGGCTTGAAACTTGTGATGCGGGTTATGGATGATACCCATCCGGGACTCGTGAACGGCCTCCCATCCGTCGAGGTCAGGAATGTCATCTGGAGGAGATGCCACTGGCAACCACTCAGAATCAACCGCTTCATCAAAGTCTGCCTGCAAATGCAGCCTCAGAGGCGCTTCCTCCTCGTCAGAGTCGACATCCTTGAAGACCGGAACGATTGACATGAGATCACCCTCCATGAATGCAACAGGTTTCGGCGCATCCTCCCGGACGGCTTCATGCTCAGCTTTCTCGTTGGTGGCGGCAACATTCCATGATCCTTTCATCAGAAGTCTGTGCTTCCTGGGCCAACGATGTCGGGAGCTCTGCGGGTTGAAGTTCTTGTCAAACCTGCTCTGTCTCCGAGAGGGCGATCTTGAACTGGGCCAATTTCGGGTACGAATGCGCCGCTTTGATTCGCTCCTCTGGGTCTGGGTCCAAGAATCTAGCCTTGTTCCGTCTCCTCCTCAATTTCCATCACGGTCTTAAGTGCGCTCTAATGGCCGATTTGAGGAATTTGATCATCAAAGTTCTGTTGAACGGATTGTCCTCCAAATGCAAATTGTCATATCGGATCGATGCCATGGATGGTATCTCCGTAGAAATGCAACCGACACCTCCGGCAATCAGATCGAAGCACTTGCCAAGCTCAGTTTGGTACGACGGATGGAGACCATACACGTTTGCATCACCGCATCCAAAAACAACAATGTCATGGATTTGCGTGTGACGAAGGAGCTTGATCAAATCCTCCATGGCGTTCTGAACTCGGCGGTACTGTTTGTCCACAAATTCGGCCGCGCCCTTCCGGTCGGCTGGACTCCTGTTATACTTTGATTG